TATATTCTGTAACAACATAACCTAATGGAAAATAAAAATATTTAGTTTTATAATTATTTATTTATGATATGTTTATGGGAAAATGAAAACTCTAAATTTATAGTATTCCAAATTTTTTTTAATTTTGTGGAATTTTAACAAAATGTGGGACTTTGCGCTTTCTCACACAAAAACTAAAAAAATGAGGAAATTTTAGTGATATCAATAATTTGAGTGCAAATTGGGGAATTATTTTATACAGCTGGAAACTCTATGGACACCCCAGAGTGAAAACTATAGTTTTCAGGGTGTATACGGTAATAGCACCAACATATATCAATGAAATAAAGACAACTTTCTTTTTTTAAGTTTTATTTGTTAATAAGATTTTTTGAATTAAAAGTTTACAAGAAAATAAAGAGAAGCTGTTTTGATTGCATAGTTTACTTTTTTCCCACTTTATTGTGTATCCATGCTGTTTAAAAGCTTGATATAATTAAAAAATTTTATTGAAAGGTGTCTTGAATAATTAGATCTGTATAACTCACACAAGGTTTAAACATTCAAAACTAATGAATACTGCACAAAAATTCATATTTTTAAAAAGTTCTAGAAAAGTTTCAGCAAAAATAAAAAATTACAAAGGGAGATAGAGAATTAATTTAAAATTGTAATATCACTTTCAGAGTTTAACACAGAATTTTGAATTTAAAATTTTAAAGAAATCATCAAAAATTTAAAATTCAGTGAATCATAGTCTAAAATATGTTATTTGGCCTTAACTTTTTAACATTTTATATTTTAAAGAACAGAATCTTTCTATAAAAACTGCATTTACTTCAACATTCTTGCTCAAATTATGAATATTAATTTAAAATATTTTGAAAGATTAAAGTCAGAAAATGTATGAAAATATGCATGATATTTACAAGATGTTTAAAATGTTTAAAAGCACTAATTTCATTTAAACTCTAATTTGCTAGTTAACAGATTTCATGTTCAATGTACTACAATTTAAAGTAGAACAGATGATAAAGCCACTAATCAAAAATATTAATGATAAAGAATTAGGAAAAACAATAGACAAATCATATGATGAAACAACCTTGAGATGGTTGTTACCTGAAATGAAAAATAAGGTGTGGTTTGGCTAAGTATCACATTCTAAATTACATCAAATCATCTATGAAAACCAATTTTAGAAAAAAGATCTTTTGAATTAGAATCCACAATAACAATGACTAACTAAATCAGGTTTAATTTAAAAATTATGGAAACTCGTCTGAATGAGACCTTGTATGTTTCCAGTTTAAACTTTTAAACTGTTGTATTTTGGTTTATTATGTTCATAACTGGTAGGAAAACTTTTCTTTCAAATCTTGTCACAAACAAAATAGGTTCCATTAAAGAGCCTCTAATAAACCTCCCATTTTTTACATATATTTTTACAATTGTTATGACTACAAGGGACATTAAATCCAAAACACTTTGCCCATCCTTTGGGATCCTGGCCCATATTCAGAGTAAAAGTCTTTAATAAAAACTATAACCAACATTTTATTAAACATGACGGGGTCAAAAATTCCCAATTTTAAACTTTTTTTGAATCAAAATTATAATAGGAGTTCTTTTTATATGAAAGCTCTTGACCATTTTCAAGACAATGTCAGGTTCTCCATTTTCAAACATCCTGAATTTGAAACATTGGTGTGTTTTCGAAATAAAATCCACTTTCCCGTTTTTGAGTACACAATCTACAATTCAAAACAAAACTCACTTTCATAACTTTTTTTTAAAAGAGATTTTTTTGTCCCCGGGACATGATCAGGTTGTTGCAATCAAATCTAGGAATTTTTCTATTGCAAAAGTTTGGTGTTGTAGGGTATTTTTTGGCGACATGGAAATGCCTCAACACGGAAATGACTCAACATGGAAACAGATCAACAATTTTTTTTGAAGAATTTTCGGTTTTTTTAGAAATTCAAGGAAATCCCTCCAAAGTTCAGAACTGTTGAGGGATTACCGAAAATTTTATATCCGTTTCCCAATATTTATAGTTGAATGGTTTCCTCTTTTTTTTTGATCAATTTCCTCATATTTTTAGGCCCGTTTCCTCATTTTATTGATCAGTTTCCGCTTTTTTCAAAAACTTTAAAGTTTTCAATCTGTTGATTGGTTAATTTAGGTCCGTTTCCTCAAATTTTTGATCAGTTTCCGCTAATTATTAAAAACTTTAAAAATCTCATTTTGTTGATCGATTTCCTTAAATTTTAGACCAGTTTCCTCATATTATTGATCCGTTTCTGCTTTTTTCGAAAACTTTAAAAATCTCAATTTGTTGATTGGTTTCCTCAACCTAATCCTTTTCCTTAAATTTTTGATCTGTTTCCGCTTTTATCAAAACTTTAAAAATCTAATTTTGTTGATCAGTTTCCTCAAATTTTAGGTCTGTTTCCTCATATTTTTGATCCGTTTCCACTTTTTTCAAAAACTTTAAACTTCTCAATTTTTTGATCAGTGTTCTTAAATTTTAGATCTGTTTCCTCATATTTTTGATCCGTTTTCGCTTTTTAAAAAAACTTTAAAAATCTCATTTTGTTGATTGGTTTCCTCAAATTTTAGGTGTATTCCCTCATATTTTTGATCCTGTTTTTGCTTTTTTCAAAAACTTTAAAAATCTTAATTTGTTGATTGGTTTCCTCAAATTTTAGGTCCCTTTCCTCATATTTGTGATCCATTTCCTCTTATTCAAAAACTTTTAAATCATCTTTTTTTCGTATCCGCAGGGGAGTACCGAGAGCATTTTTAAAATTTGAAGTATAAAAACAGCATTTTTTAATTGTTGAAGGGTTTGCTCTGTGCTCAATAATATGAAATGAACGACAAGAGTAAATTAATTAAACAAACTTTTTTTCTAATCTTCTAGTGCCGACAAACAAAATACCATTTCTACCCAACTAACACAAAGCGGAGTTAAATCAGGGTAAAAGTCGATTATTTTTAAACCAGAACCCAAATAAAACCCATGTACTGAAAACGGTTTTAAGACGGTTTTACAGAGTGTTTTCAGTAGACATAGATAAGGTTTTAGACGTTTTAAAATCTTCTTTTTAAGTTTTAAAGTAGAGAGAAATTCGTTTTTTAACCATAGGTTTTACACAAGTAGTCTAAAAAGGATTTAAACCAAGTGTCATAACACCAATGCCAGTTTTTTAAATGGTTTAAAATGGTGTCATTTTATTTTTTTTATAAAACACAAGTTAAAAACGCTTTAAGAAGTTAAGCAGGTTTTACACGTGTAATATCATTTTTTTTAACAGAAATAACCAGTTAAAGATCAAACTGATTTAAACTGTGCTAAAAGACATGTTATGCGACTAGCGTTGCCTTAGTTTATACAAAGTCAATACCGTGGAATGGCACCTCAGTCTGGATAAAATAAAATTCTTTTAGCAACACAGAAAAAGCATTGATGAATATAATATGAATTATTTCCAATAGAACAAAAATCATCATACCCATCAGGCATTAATCAACTGTGAACCGCCCATATTTATCATACATATATCCAATACAAAGAACAAAATCTATTTTGATATTTAAAAACATATTTACCACAGTTATCCACGGTTTTCAGCACATAATAATCACAAAAAAAAACATTTTAATCAACTAAATTAAAGTCCAACAAAAATACTGTAAAAACTAGAAGCAAAGAACGTGTGTTTATGTTGCGTCTGCACAGTATACAAAAACTATATGTAGAAAACCGGTTCTTTATCTTCAGCTTATCCTGGAAACAGTTGTACAGAACGTCTCTACGTTGCTGGGTTGAATAGTATCTCCCCAGAGAACAGGAGCGTTTCACAGACTCTAAGTACGCTGCATGTGCTAGCGTAACAAGACATTTTAAAATGATTTATTTTCGGTTATTAATGTATCTTCACGTTAGTTTAAACCAACACCATTTTTAACCGTTTTTTGCATGCGTAAAAGCTATTTATAGTCAGTTCTTACTTGTTTTTTCTCTTCTCTAAAAACTCTATTTTTCTAACACCATTTAAAAACGTTTTAAAGGAAGTATGTTACAACCATTTAAAAACGTTTTAAAGGGTGGATTTTAATCCAATTTTATCCATTTATAATTTAAGATTTAGTGACAAAATAGAAAGAAATTGATTAATCTCCTCAAACTCGAATATGCCAATTCTGATATATTTGCAACCTGATATTGAATGCCTATCATATTATATTATTATTATATATTATATACTAGATTACCTTATAAAGTTTGAAATATCAAAGATAAACACATTCAAGTTGCAAAGATATAGGAATATGATTAGAGGTTGAGGAGATTAATCAGCTCCGTTATTTGACACAAAAATTAAAATCATCAATGGATAAATATTGATTTCTATATTAAATAATTCTTCTACAGCTAATAGAACAAATTGAAAAAAAATACATTTATTTTTACTCCTTTGAATCTTAATGAGTATCTAATTAAAACAAAGTTTCTACCATATTTAGGGTGTTCGGGTAAAAGTAAAAAAATTAAATGCTCACTGGTAACAAACATTATGCACATCTCTAAATAGATTACACTCCATATATATTTTACTACATTTATTTATACTTTGAAATGCTTAATTTCTTGAGTTGTTATTGATAAGTTAAAGAGGCTTTATGCAAAAATTAAAGTGACTCACTATTTATAGAATGTTAGGTCCAATTCACAACGGTACCCATAAAAGCGTTGACTGATTAAATATGCATTATAGATATCAATGTTTATAATTTAAGAAACTGTCAATTTTAAAATCATAACACTTATTAACCTAGAAAAACAACTAAATCTTCCATATTAGTCTTGACATAAAAGGTATCGTTATAAATCGGGTGCATTGCCATTCTAGTATGACACTTGAAATTGTAGACCCTTCAATTGTTTACAGGAAGCAAGTCGATTAAAAAAGAATTAAGTCTTTGTCTCTGTTACGCAACCCAGTCACGTATATGGGATATGAGGGAAAGGTCGCCCCTGTGCTAATATTCCTACAAGATATCTGCAGCGCCCCTGGACTTCGTACTGCATGAAGAGGGGAGTTTCCAAGAATAAAAATAAAGCTGCTCAAAACTAGGTTTTATATGTATTGTTTATACTCTAACGTACATTCTAATCAATTGAGATGTGACTTTTGATGGCGATGTTCGCCAATGTTTTTGTCTCTTTGTTCTTGTGATATTGTGTGAAGGCTCAATATGGTAAGATTTACGCTAGAGTTACTTAATATTATTGTACTATTTAGAATAAATCAAAACCTACAGTTTTTTACGCCCAAGTAACTTGTTTCTCAAGATTATTGTAGTATTTTCTGATTTATTTGTATTTTCTAGTTTTCGTCATTTTTTTATGGGCTTTTTCTGTAGTAAAAATATAAGAACTCTATTTATGTTATTTTATAGTTGAACATGCTGATCTGAATAAATCCTGAGTTCTTTATTTGATGGTCAAAATGAGTACAAAGGATAGAGAGAAATGTTCTGACAAACCATCGCAGAATATCACTAGGCACATGTATTCGCTGGTCGCGAAACAGTCTCAAACTCTGATTTTCAAACCCCTATATCTCTGCAAGCCAATGTCATTAGATTCTAAAATTTAACAGTTGGAAATATCAAATTTTACACAATAGGAGACTTTTAAGTTCATAAAAAAAGTAAAAACTGATCAACAATAAAAGATTTTTAAAGTTTTAGAAAAAAGTGGAAACTGATCAAAAATATGAGGAAACGGACCTAAAATTTGAGGAAACCGATCAACAAAATTAGATTTTTAAAGTTTTTGAAAAATAGTAGAAACAGATCAAAAATATATGGAAAAGGACCTAAATTTTGAAGAAACCAATCAATAAATTGAGATTTTTAAATTTTTTGAAAAAAGCAGAAACGGATTAAAAATATACCTAAAATTTAAGGAAACCAATGAACAAATTAAGATTTTTAAAGTTTTTGAAAAAAGCGGAAACGGATCAAATATATGAGGAAACAGATCTAAAATTTGAGGAAGCCGATCAACAAAATGAGAATCTTAAAGTTTTTGAAAAAAGCAAAAATGAATAAAAAAAATGAGGAAACATATTGGGAATCCCCTCAAAAATATTTGGAAATATCTCAAAAATATTTGAATAAAATAAAGCGGAAACAGATAAACAATTCTGGTAAATCGATCAAAAAAACAAGGAAACTCTTCAAAATTTGAATTTATAGGGATTTCCGAAAAATTTGAAGAAATTGTGGAAACACCTCAAAAAACCTACTTTTGAGGGGTTTCCGCTTATTTTTGATCCGTTTCCGTGCTGAGGCATTTCCGTGTTGAGGTGTTTTCATGTCACTGTATTTTTAGTATTGATCTGCCAGTATTCAAGATAAAACCAGTCATTTTTACTATCTTGGTACAAGAGTTTGATGAGCATCAGAGAGACGAGCAATTCTGACACCACACCACAGAAGACTCCAACTTCAAAACACTATTTTCATCCAAACGTTATCTCCATCTTTTCGAATCCAGATAAATATATCAGATAACATTATTAACAGTTGATGCACTGACAAAACTTAGTTCCAATCTAGTGAACAAATATCCATGAAACTAGTTTATCCTTTGCTTTTCTACACTTTTACAGAGCATTTTTAATCTTATATACGCTTCAAGCCTTTTTGGCCACAACCACAGCAGAGTAGAGCTTGAAACAAATCATGATAGTGCTAATCCAGCGCATTTACTAGTCATTGTCCACCAGACCACCTATTAGAAATAGTTGTTACTTAATGCATTTCAAATATTGTTATGATTTCTATTTATTTTTCCATTTAAATTATTGCAACAATAAAGTTGAAAATTTAGAACAGATTTATTTTGAAACATGGAAAAAAAATGTCAAAAATGTATTTTATAAGTCTATCTTTCATTTTTTGAATCTGTAATTTGCTATAAATTATGGCTCATTATATTTATTTAAAAATGTCTTTTGTACATATAAAATATTGTGATTATTACATGTAACAATTCTGTTAAATCAAATAACCTGACAAATATAGAAATATTTCGTTTTAAAAAGTTTGTCATTTTGTTAACACTCATTAATAACAACCCTTCGTTAAGGAACATTAACAACCCATCTTTAACAATTGTTAATGTTAACCCTTCATTAATGACAACCTTTTAATAATGATTGTTAATGACAACCCTTTGTTAGTGATTCTTAATAAAGAGAAGAAGAGAGAGGAAACCGACAAATTGAGTAGTTTTATAAGAACATATCAAGAATTTTTAGCTCCCCTACAACTTTACCTGCATGTAAGACATTGACAACCCTTTGTTAATGATTGTTAACGACTACCCTATGTTAACAATTGTTGATAACGACCCATTGCTAAGTGCCCATCCTTGATTATTAATGATTTAAATTTAAACCTGAAATGTTAGGGGACGTGGGTTTTATAAAAACATAGAAAATTTCTTTTTCTGCAGTAAGAGAATTTATTGCGTGACAATGCCAGCATGCAACTTTAAACTTAATATTTATTTAGAATCAAACTATTCTAAATTTTCTAGCTTTTATTAAGTGCTAAACGAACAGATGGCATTGTCAAATTTAGTAAGACATTGACTTTAGAAATAGACTCATCGTTTAAGACATTAAGTCAAATTTAACTTATTTTATTTTGAAAAAACTTTAAAANGGGGGGGGTCTAGCTATTTTTGCTCTAGTGCTCTAATTTTTGACACAAAATATATTCTTGACTTTTCTAATATCATAATTCAAAGGTTTTTTGTTTTTGTTTAAATTATTTACTTTTTAGTGGATAGAGTAGGAACTGTCAAAATCTATTTTATTTTTCATAACAATATTTCTCAGACTAATTCATATTTTATTTAAATACAAAGAATGAGATATTACAAATAAGCCATTGCAATTAACTATGCAGTTTGGACCCGCCTAAGCAAGGGAGATTGTTTGGATTGGTTGGTACAAAGTTAGTGAACAATAATGAATATAATTGTATGCACATCAAATTCACATATATTTTGTATGTTTATATCAAACAAACTGATACATTGATATTAATAAATATAACATAGAAGATGTTTTACTTGTCCTTATGCCTCAAAAAGATTTTAAAGACGATTATGAAATGGAGTCTTATAAGCAATTTTATTGAATGTTGTCTTTCATGCAGGTAAAAAGTTGTGGGGGAACTAAACTTCTTGATATTTTCTTTACAACTACTCAATGATAAGTATCAATGCTCTTAAGATCTGTTTTCTCTCCTTTAACAAATATTTGTCATTAACAATCATTAATGAAGGTGTTACAAGAGCTCATGCTGCGTCTCAAGTCTATGAATCACCCCTGTTCTACCAGTATTTATCCATGTACTCTAGTGACTGTTTCCATGGGAGAGAAGGTGAAGAAGAATTATTTATCATTTGCGCATGCGCCTAAACTCATGTGTTTTATCCAGTATACCAGTATTTTTGATCCTATGAAGAATGGTGATCCTGATAAGAATGATGATCCTGAGAAGAATGGTGATCCTGAGAAGAATAGTGATCCTGAGAAGAGTGGCGATCCTAAGAAGAGTGGCGATCCTGAGATGAGGTGCAATCCTGATTTGTTGGGCAATCCCTGTTTAATGTGTGATCCCTGTTTAGTGTGCAATCCCTGTGATCTGGAGCCAGGTTGGGGTCCTGAGAAGAATTGTGATGATCAGGGATCAAGGAGCGATCCTTGTTTGCTTCTAAGATACTTTGGAATGGATGAGATCTATTGGTTTGGAGAATGGTTTGAAGAGATGTCAGGGATTGATGAATTATCCTGGATTGATGAGTTCTCCCGGTTTAGTGAGAGTCCCTGGTTTGAAGAGATCTCCTGGTTCAGTAAGATGCCTTGGATTTATGAGATCCGTGTCTGACGTGACCCTGTGGATCAGGATCTCTTGGTTTGATGAGATTTTCTGGATTAGTGAGAGTTCATGGTTTGAAAAGATCTCCTGGTTCGGTGAGATGCCTTGGATTGATGAGATATCCGGTGTTGAAGAGAGATCCTTGTCTTGGAAGATATCCTGGTATAATGTGATTTTTTGGTTAGTGACCTCTTGGCGTAATAAGTTATCCTGGTATAAGTGGTACCTGGAGAAGGATGAATTATCACTAGGATTAGGAGAGCTGAACCTTAACAAGTTTAAAATGTATCCAAGGGATCAGACTGGATTGAGGGTTTAAAAAGGATGAAAAGAGAAAGGTCTGGAATGCCCCTGATTTCATATGAAGGAGCGGAGGAGAGAGGGTTCATTGATCTCACGACCCTTGCTATCCTTGCTGGTTACAAGTTTCAATCAGGGAACATGACAGCTATGAGTGTGCAGACCCAGGGAACCTTAGTGAACAAGAATGTATCTACCGGAGATGATTACTGGGGTGTTAGATGGCAGCAGATCCCAGAGTCCCTGAAGTGTTATGCGCTAGGAGATATCCAGTTTGGATTCGTTACTTACATCGTTTTAGCTGGACTGCTCCTAAGGGATGTGTTTCCTGATCAATATGTACTCTGTAAGTTCTTGAAGTGTGTTAAGAAATCTGCAGTAGACTGGTTCTTGGAGTTTGTGATGATGTCTCTAGAGGGGGTGGAGTATCATCAGAAGATGGAGGAGTTGGCCAAGACTAGAGAGGAGGTGATAAGATCTCTGAAGTACAGGGATGAGAAGGAGAGGTTTTGTGAAGTTTCTCCTCCTTAAATCAATCTCTGGTCAAGAATTCTAGGAGACTGGCGCAGAAGCCTGAGAATGGTTCCTGGTACAGATGTATGCGCTGGCCCCTGCCAAGGTCCCCTGGTCTGATGGGGGACAGATTGAAGTTTCTAAAGAAGGAGATAAGATATATTCTAGGTTTAGATTGACTTTGGAGGAGCTGGATGCTCAGTCCTGGAGAGCTCCTATCTCTGGGATCCGGGGATTAGTCTTTCCTGAGGAGCTGGAGTTCAAGCTCGAGATCCCCTGGGAGGAGAGATTCTTCTAAGGAGGGATAAGAGATAGTGATATAAACTTAAATGGTGATAAACTAGTTGGTGAACTGTGTAAACAATTCTTTTTCAGGTGGAATCAGTAGATCAACAGGATTCGGTCGCGGGGTCCAGATAGAACTTTTTTCTTGCTTCTCGTTGGTTGGCGAGTGTTACACGAGCTCACACTGCATCTCAAGTCTATGAATTGCCCCTGTTTTACCAGTATTTATCCCTATCTTCAAGTGACTGTTTTCAAGGGAGAGAACCGGTTTTACCAACAAATTGTTTATCATTTGCACATGTACTACAACTCATGTGGATCTATATATTTCGTTTATATTCTGATTATCTTGCAATTATCGGAGGACTATGATATAATCTAGAACGGATTAGAAATAGCTTAGTATTTATGTAAATATATATATAGATATTGTAACGGAGTTCAAAGTGTGTATTTTTAACAAAGAATGTCAGATCATGGTTGGAATCAATTATTTCTGTATATGGGAACTCTGCTGGGTGTTTACATAAACTAAAACTCCTTTTTTGTAAAATTCACAAACGAATGTAACAGATTCTTTAAGAATTGATATTTGTGCTTTTATGAATAGTTAAAATGTATTTAT